ATACAGAATTCCACTTATCATTGGCTAACTAATTACAAAATATGTTTATATTTTTTTCAGAGAAAATTCTCGTCGTTGGTATTGGTGTTTTATCAAGTTTACGATCACTCTTTATCTTCACCATTACAGCATGATGATCTGAAATATTATTAACGATGACGTCCGTTTTTACAACATTCACGAAATTATTAATTAAAATATTATCAATACAGCTGGAAGCTCTTGCTGGTTGTCTTCTCCGTCTTCTAGCGTTACCGGTGGGGGTGGAAGCGCTAGCGCTGGGTGTACTGGCGTTTGAAGGAAATAACACCATTAATTCCTTTTCTTCTTCAGTATCAGGTTTTGGGGATTTCCTATGTTTGCCACCACCTGTACCTCTACGGTAATATTGTATTTGTGTATGTTGCTTTTTAATCTCCTTTTTAATGGCTTCATATTTATATTTTAGTTGTTTGTAATTTCTACGCTGCACACAATAATAAAACAAATTAGATATTTAACATAGGTAAATATGATTAATGATAAACTTACTGGTCCATTTGTTGCGGCATTAAACTCATGTTCTATTTTGAGCCACACAGTCTCCTTTGGTTGCCATGTCACCCCATCTGTTTGTTTGTTTTCAAGAACATTTTTTTTTGCAATTTGCACTCTGTAGTAAGAGTTACCTCTCACTAGCAGAAAAAATAAATAAGAATAAACTTACGACAGTAACCACAACACTAGTCACGTGAAATACACTGTACAATTGTTGAATACCAAATGCGCATCGAATCTGATGGGAGTTTAAAGGCTTTAAAGTTCACTAGCACGGGGTAGTTTTGAACTGACCAATCACAACTCATTTCCGGTGGAGTGAGCGTTACCAACATAAGAGAGTAGCAGCTAAACTTCAAGCTACGAAACTGGTAGAAACATCGTGCATTGATAAACACTTTACCTCCGTTAACTGCTAGTTATGCGTATCTGACAGTTACCACACAGTTTTAACTGAACATTGATAAACCGACCCGTAGCCGTTTTAAAATCCTCGCTAACACTCGGATTTCAAACGGACGGCTACGGCGGTTATGGCACTCCTTACATTCTAGGTATGCTAATAACTATAACTATGCTATGTAAGAGGTACGTACCAGTTTAGTGGCCTTTCCTGCAAAAAAAGTTCAAACAAATATTTGAGTTGAACCTTCTCGTTCGAATTTTTTTACTATTTATCCCAGACTTACTAGTTGATTGTCAATAGCGCAGCGGAAAGTTAATCCGCCATTTTCCGGACATCCGGTATGGTGCACCATTTGTCATATTGTGCACTTGGAAGAATCGATACAAATTTTCCATGTAGCAAATAGTACCACTAGCATTTTCAAATCCATTATGTCCTTCTTCCAGTAAAAATTTGATTGATGCCGTTACAGGTGGTGAATTGGTTTATTCCACACCGAGGCGGAAAGATTTCATTATAGCCGAGACAGTTAGTTCAACGAGGGATGCAGCCCAGAAGTGAACTATAGTTCGAGCTTATAGGAAACTTTCCACCGAGGTATGTATACTATTTTACTCTCAATTATCTGAATATTTCTGCGAAAATCAAAATTTAAAAAAAACAATGCGGCACAATGTTTATTTTCATGTGCAAGTAAGGTATGCTTAACCCTACGGTCGCAGCGCCTAACTGCCCTGCGCAACTCGCAGCGCTTAGTCTCATAGGCCCTCTATCAAATGCCGTATTTATAAGGTTTATTTTGAGTTTTTGTTCATTGTAGTGCGTACGTTTTTAAATTCAATCATTGCTTTATACCGGGTGTCTGGAAAATGGCGGATTAACTCTCCGTTACGGTCTTAACAATCAACATGTGAGTCTGGGAAATATAGAAAAAAAAATCCTTCTCACATTTTGATGGAGTTACAATGATTTTAAAATTGGTTCTTTTGCTACGGTTAACAACTAAACAACACATTCATTATCACAATAACTAGAAATAGAACTTTTAGTTAATAGTTCTCTTGCCCATGACCATGTTTAATTACCATTTCAGTTAGACTACACAAAGATATGGTTGTGTTGTTTTTGTAAGAATTTGATAAAATTCCATTTGACAACAGTGTTTGCCTGATATAAAGCGAGGGTGGATTTCAGTCACCATCATTACTAAGAAACCAGAAAGTATTCACGCATTAGGTGTGTGCAGTGTTGCCAATTTTACTTTTATAAAATTACGTTTTTTTGGTAATCTAAATCATAAAGAATTTTTTTGATTATTTTTTCGGGACTCCCGAAACCCCCGTGTATAACATACTGAAGAGTTAATCCGCCATTTTCCAGACACGCGGTATAGTTGCAGAGTTGGATAAGAATAGTAATATTCTAAAGAATAAATACCAAGAAAACTTCAAAGTGCTGTTTTAGAAAGCAACTTATTTTGTTTTTGCAAAATTTGTTTTTTTTTTATATATTTTTTGAGAACAGTTAACTATTAAGCAGTTACAAGCAAACTGTAAATGTTTATTCTACAGAATTCTGTACAATTTCAACATTCAGTGGAAATTATTTTAGCATGTTCTAAGCATAGAAATTTCAAACATTTTTTACAATGGTATCTTGTTTTTCGTTGTTTGGCACATTCTGCACATCGTCTACGAACACCTTCCTGTATTTCTGGCTGTGGAAAACTAACTTCTGATGTGCCAGCAACCAGATCTTCAATTCCATCGTCAATGTCAGAAATATCATTATATTCGGGTTCCGATACATCAAGTTCTTCTAACAAACCTTGCAACCGTTTTTGGTCCTCCTCATAGCTCATACTAACAAAGCAAACAAGATCACCATTTAAAAAAAGTCTGAGGTAACATAGTTTCTTATAAATTTGTACTTACTTTGCATATAAACCGTAAACGCGAACAGAAATGATTTGTCAACAGTAGCAGCAGCGGTTAGTCTGTGAGGCCCAATCACTAGAGTTAATCTCTGAATAAAATTTAACGTTAGTATTTACGAAGAACGGACAAATACTTGACTACTGACCTAGTTACGGTTGTGGAGATCGTCGGGGCCCCTTGTGTCTTTCTCTTCTGCCTAATTTTGAAAACCGTTGAGAGATAAGATAGTAGCACGCGCCCTCGCGATCGCTGTCTGTTGAGAATCACTTTTTCATTGGTTAGCTCTTGTCGAGGGAGCACGAAGGGAAAACGATGCGAACAATTAATACAAGCTTGTCCTTATCTCTGGTGAAGCTATAAATTTATCTTAAATATTAGAAAAAATCTGATTGTCAGTTTAGATCTTTGACGTCTACTTATTTGAAAAACGCAGCGCACGAAGTTGCGCAAAATATACTCCCCGAAAAACGCGAAAATAGTATGAAAAAGCTTAGAAAATGAACCTACAATGAAGTGCTATCAACAGGGCCCACAATATTACGTCAGAAAGTGTGCTACCAGCATATTCCCAAGTAGCACACTCTGATTTATAAACGTTTATTTTTTAACAGAATTATTCATCTAATTGTAGTTTGTCATGAAGCTTTTAGAGTTCGAAAAATGTCGGTGTGTTTCAACTTTGATAATATGTATTACACAAATGCTTATCAAATATCTAACGGATAAACTGCCTTACAAATTGACATATGATGATTGTCATTTTTTACATCTGATCACATAGGCGACGTGATAATTTTTGTAGGGCTATTAACCGGACAAGCCTTAAATCGCTGATTCATCATCGTTCTCTCGGTGTTCTTTAGTGTCGTTTGCATCTGGATTTTGTTGAGACAGGGTTAATGAGTCAAAAAATTTCCGAGACTTCACATGGTCAAGTAAGAATTCCAGTTTATGGCAGTACCATAAATTAGGTTCATATACCTGAAATATAACTTTTTAAAATGTTTGTTTTTTATTACTATCTGTAGTCACCACTTACGTCTTCTTCGTTTATCCCAAAGTGGAATAACATTACGTATTGTTCACTCATAAATGTAGCTCTTAGCCCATTCTATTTGGTTTATGTATTAGTCATGTTTTTTGGATTTCCTCATAGGCTTTTTTGTTTCAGATGTTTGTTGAGGTATGCTTTTGTTTTTACCGCATACAAGCATGGGCGTATTTTATATTCCTCTCGCAAAACTCTAACATGGGGCCTGTTGCACAATACTTACAAGTCTAATAATATTGGTCTTGTGAATTGTAATTTATGCAATAAATATACACAAATTACAATTACAATTAACAATTCACAGTAGTGATGCCCACAATGCCAGCAGAAGATCGATTCTAAGAATCAATTTTTTTTTGTTTCGGGCGATTCTTAACAATCGATTTTTCTGAGAAAAAAAGATCGATTCGTAAAAATCGATTTTTTAAAATTTGTTTTATAATATTGACGTGTTTAACGAACTTCATATTTTAATATGAAGTTTCTTTTAAAAAAATACCACCTGATTAGTTGCTTTTATAATATTTATTTAGCAAAAAATAAAAAGTAAATTTCCTATACTAAACATAACAAAAATAAATTTTATATTCTTAAACATGAACAAAAATAAATTTTATATTCTTAAACATAACAAAAATAAATTTTATATTCTATAATAATTTTGTATAGAATTAAGTAACAAATGATTTTCAACTTAGAGCTTGCACGTTTCAATTATTTAAATGCCACTCGTCTTCCTCTAGAGATCCTAAAAAAAGAAGAGCGGAGAGTCTTTTACTTGCAAGTCTATTTCTCAGTTCACTTAAATTAATACCCGCTTTGCTGAAAAGTCTTTCAGACGGCACTGATGTGGCTAAAATACTTAAGTGTTTCAAAGCAATTTTTGATAAATATGGATATACATGTTTGACCGAAGTCCAAAACTTGATAGGATCTTCTGTTCTTGAACTTAAGGTTTGGTTTAAATAGTTTTTTAATTCAGAAGGTATACCTGAATTGTTACAAACTCCTTCATTTTGTTTAATGGATAATTTGTCATGAACCGCCCATAAATTTAATCCAGTACTGGTCATGTCAGTAAGTTTTTCTTGGTTTTTGTCATAATTTCGTGGTGACACTGACACTGAGTCATTTTGTGTTCATCAATTAAAACTTTTATTCTTGCAACTGCTGCTGTATCTGCTAATGGATTTTCAAAGTGTATGCGTTTAAATCTTGGGTCGAGTATAGTAGAAACTGACAGCAAATTATTTTTTTCCACGCTGGAATTATCCGAATAAAACCTTCTCGCTACCTCCTCTTTTAACTTATTCAAAATTTGTTTGACAACGTTAGTGCTAACTTCTACTTTATGTAAAGTAAGCTTTAGACAGTGTACTATTGGTATAACCTTACTTGAAGTGACATAATTTTGTCCTGACATTTCGACAGTCATGGCTTCAAAGGGAGCTAAAACCAATATCAACTCTTTCAAAATTGCAATGTTTTCTTGATCAATCATTTTAATATTTTGATTGTCAAAAAGGATAATGCTAATCAATGGTGCAAGCTCCAAAAATCGTTTCAACATGTAGTATGTCGAATTCCACCTAGTACTTATATCTTGAATAAGTTTCAGACAAGAACCTTCTGTTTTCCCATTCTGTATTTGATATGTTCGAAGTTTTTGGGCCGCATCATGACTTGTTTTAAAAAACGTAACAATAGCCTTCACTGAAGAAATAATATTATTGACATCTTTCAAACTGTTGGTAACAATTAAATTGGTAGTATGCGCAAAACATGGTAAATGTTTCTTACTACCAAAAAATTCATGCACAGCTTTCACCATATTTCCTGCATTGTCTGTAATAACTGCTGTTATTTTATCTTTAGAAATATTCCATTCGTGACAACAATGTAGTAAAGTAGTTCCAATATAATCGTATGTATGCTTGTTTTCTAATAAAAATACTCCTATTGTAATTGATTTTAGTTCTGTTTCTTGAAGATAATGAACAGTTAGTCCCAAAAAACTTCGATTATTCAAACTATCAGTCCATGCGTCAGTTGTTAGACAAAAATTATCCACCAACTTGAATTTGTCTTTAATTTTGGAACTTAAAACTGTATATTTTTCATCAACTTGTCTTGTAATTGTAGAACGCCCTGGAGCCTTATATAATGGTAAAGCGACATTTTTGAAATATTGAAATCCTTTACGTTCTGTGAAAGATAAGGGAAGGTGATCAACTGTGATCATATAAATCAAAGCATTGGTTATTTTAGCATTCATTCTTCCACCTAGCAAAAAGCATTTCATACAAAAAAATATTTTTCAGTAATTGGAACTTACCTGAAAATGAATTTATTTCATCGAAAGCTGATACTATGTCATTTTGTTTGAACTTAAGGGTAGATTTTTCGAAACTGGGCAATGCATCTATTTCACTAAGATCAGTAAGATCACAGAGAGTTACTGTTGTTGCTTCTGATAAATTTGTCTCTAAAAGTTTAATGGAATATGTAATTAGGTATTTCTCTGCATTAACCAACTTACCGCTCTTTTCGACATCATTGTGTAGTGATGATGTAGAAACATCATTCTGTAGTGACGATGTAGTAGTCTGGGTCTGATCTTGATCCTCTTTTGAACCTTTGTTATTTATCACTTTTAGACGTTTTTGACTCTTGTTTTGTGCCAATCCCATATTTAAAAATTCTGAATGTTTACGTTTCAGGTGGTTTCGTAAATTTGTAGTATTGTTATGATGCTTGTAAACATTGCTACATATTTTGCACCTTGATGAAATTGCAGTAAATTTCGTGAAATAGCATTTTACGTCAATGTGCGACTCTGACATTTCTAATCTAAAAGTAAACAAAATGCCGAACAACTTTTATAACCAAATTACCAACCCACTGTTAATGGTCAATAGTGTTAATCTTGTTTTCCAAATCCAAAGCACAATATTCACCACATATTTACATTAACGTAGAACCAGTATTCTAAATCACTTCTAAACTATGATGTATAATCACCGGATTACCCGACCGCCCTACATGCAGAATGCAGATGACTATTGACTACATGTACATGTACATCGCAATTCTTCGGTTTTTACTTTTTTGTCCTATTCACACCACGACTTAAACAAAGATGTGCTTTGCACTACAAATACATCAAACAAAGACAACGAACTCCCACTAGAAATAAATATAAGTAGAAAATGCTAGAAACTATTTGGCGCGTACATTGGCACATTTTGCCATTCTCACCTTTATGTACATCGAAATTAGGGGTGGTAATTCGATCAAATCAAACGTTTTAACGTTAACGTTCAAGTTCAGAAAAATGTTCGTAATCGCAGTAGATACCAACCGTTAATTCTAAAATTGCAAAAGTTACTAAGATGATTGTTTGAGCTGTGGTTTGAGTAAAAAAATGATTTCTTTCCACAATTTAAAAAAGCATCGATTTTCACTCAAAAAAAATCGATCCCCAGAGAATCGTGCAGATCAAATAATCGATTCATAATCGATCATTTTGTTAAAAATATAATCGAATATCGAAGAATCGAATCGAGAATGGGCATCACTAATTCACAGGACTAATATTATTAGACTTGTAAGTATTGTGCAACAGGTCCTGATCGCGAGATCACGACATTTTTACAATTGTAGGAGGCGAGGAGAAAACCAGAACACTAAATGCTGCTGATGTTTGCTAATGTTTCGTTATGTTTTTTAATTTTTCTGTAAATGTATCAAACATGTGTATTTTGTATTACACTGTTATGGTGTGAGTGATGCAGCCCACTGATCAATGATTGCATCAGCTATTTATTTTTTCTATACTATTTTCTTTGTATCTTTGTCAATATCACACTGATGTTTATTTATAAGATTAATCAGAAATTTCGTATTGTGATAAGTCCATAATTTATTTTTTCAAGACATTTTTCAGACGTTAACTGTAGATACAACCTTATACATGTTTTCTATAAACACCCCACTATACAAACATGTTTACAAAAACTTCAGTTACTTTCTAGTATAAACTTTGACAACGTGCTATCTTCGAGTTGTAAATGTGTTTTCCATTGTGGGTTCTGAAAAAAAATCAGTGTTTGAATCTGTTTGCAATTAAATTATTTTTATTTTGCCTAAATAATAATTCTGCTGTAACCAAATTGTTCAAAATTAGTAGTGTAGGAAAATACGAAACATTTTGCTTAAATTTAGTAAAATTGATCAAATGTTTTCTGCTAAAGCATGTCTCGCAAGATTTAAAATTTACCTTGCTTTTGAAGAGAATGCAGCCGACAATATAATATAGAATGTACTGATCGTGAGTAGATAAACAATCAGCTTCCTCGCAGAAAAAGTATCCTGTAAATTGTTGACACGATCTACGTATATTTTGTATCTTCCAGATTGCATTGCTCAACATCCCTTTTCTTAAAATCTCTACTACGTCATAATCCACACTGTAACATCGTCGTTCAACATCAAATTCAAACTGTAATATTTTTAACAACCTGTTTATTTTTAGCAGTACGTTTATTTCCAAAAAAGCGGTATCTCATTGGCTGATGCCATGCCACGAAAGTTAACAGGCAGTTTAAATTAGCAGTATCGTTGCAATAATCCTACTAACTGGGTTCGGTATTTCTTGGATTATCTTGAAATACTGTTTCTAAATTTTGATCATTTTTACAAAAGTTCATCAGTTCACAAAATTTTGGAGGTAAATCGTACCTTCCGTGAAGTATGAGTTGTACACTGTTGTAAGTGATACAGGGATTTTATTTATTGTGCTTGGATACACTCTCGGCTATCTGCCAATATCCCGATTATTTGTTCTTTGATAGTTATTTGGTTGTTTGAAAATATAACCGACTTAAGTCTGAAGATATGTCTTAATTTTTTTATAATTTCAATTACAGTTTATATACATTCTTCAATATCTTCATTCCATTGATATTTATTTTGACGAGACACCGATTTTTACAACAATGTATCACCCTAAGCTCATCAACGTTGTTTTAGACAGAGTGATCAACAGAAAACTCAAACAATAATTTTGTTATCTAATAAGGCAATAGTTTTTCTCTTTCTGGAGGAGGTAGTAATATAGTAGCTACCGTGTATAACAATTGCTGAAACAACGTCTATTTGTAAGTGAATAGTATTTTTGAACTGTCAAAATTTTCTGCTACATAATACATCAGAGAGTGCTAATTTATGGAGATTAATAAATTATAGGAATATTTTGTATTAATTTCTGTTTTATTTATTTTGATTTGATCTATTAATTCAGTTAAATATTTTTTTTTGTATAGGATTCCTTAACCAATTATACAGTTTCTTATAATTTTCTTTTTCTTATTTTTATTGGTTTGTTGAAAATTTTGTTCGCCGAAAGCGGGTTTTCATATTTTTTCAACTTTGTTGTAGTACAGTAGAACTCCAATTATCCGAGCTAATGTGGACTCGGATAAGAAAAAAGTCGGACAATACGGAGACTATTGGAAAAAAAAGTTACACGAAAAAGCAACTTCATTGATACAACCAGATTTATTAATTGTTAATACGATGTTATTTTACATTGTTTGACCCTGTTATATGTTTTTCTTGCCACAATATTTCGCCAACTTCTTCTTGCTGTTCAACATACCGTAGAGCCGTCTCTAATGCCGTCACACCTTCTTTTTGAGACACCAGCTGCTCGTTGTCTTTCTCTTTACATCCATCTTCTTTACTTAACGAGTCTTTATCATTCTGATTCAAGACTTGAGAAATTATTTCCTGATCGTCTAAACTTTCCTCAGCATCATCAGTAACAATCCATTCTTCCACTTGCACACGGTTAACGACACGTCTCCGCATCCTCTCAAAACTTGGACAAAGATTTTGAAAGAGTCGATCGCTTCACAGCATTCGGGCCTTGTGCGAACCAATAAACGACGTATTTTAGATTAATCTCTTTCAAGACCTTTATTAAATCATCTATTTCACTTTTCTCCAACTCATGCTGTAGAAGAAAACATCTGTAGTTCTTTTTTGAGAACTCCTTAACCCATTGGTTGAATTAAGGCTGTAACATTTGGTGGAAGAAATGTTACAGTATTGTTTCCACTTTTTAGCGCTCCTTGTTAGTATCTTTTCTTTTGATATTTTCCTATCCTCATTTTTTTTTCATGGCTTCGGAAATTCCCTTTTGTTGCTGTTCTTTTTTGGCCGTTTTGCTAGTGAGGTAGTACCGCTTTTTTTTCTTATTTTTTGAGACAGTAGAATTTGTGGGTCTTTTCACTTTTTTGTGTTGCTTTGCAATCATTGCAAAATATGAATAGAGAATGGAAAAAAGAAAAACTCACTCACCCACCTGCCTATGAAAAATTCGCAACATAAAGATTTATCCAATGGCAGTAGCGTAGCAGTACTTTCGGCACCTAAAAATGGAGTAAAAACAATAAACCGAAGTTAATCTTAAGTCATTTAAAAAATGATTCAAACCCATGTTGGATCAGCCGTGCTGTGTGAGTGTTGTAATGAGATGGACATGCATTTGTAAATGGAAACAAATGGCAAAAAAATGAAAATGAAATTATTCCGCAAAATTCGCTATTTAATAGCAACCAAATAAAATTTAAGGCATTAATAGAAAATATCATGATGTGTGTCCTAATAGTGGTTATATAAAGTAACTGGAAATGGTTCATACATCGTAGTATGTTAGGAAAATTGTGTCGATGGTCAAACACTGAAAATTGTGTAATCATCCCCACTAACAATGGAATGACTTTACACCAGCAAATGTTATTTAATTTTTTGCCAAAGTTAGTCATCACTCCACAAAATTTTAGAGGTAAATTGTGATCTACATACACTCCCAACTCCGCCAATATCCCGATCATTTCTTGTCCGATCGGAAGACACAAGATGTAAGACACATCCTCCTCTATCTTTGAAGTACATATGGTCCTAGAACGACCTCGGTCATGAAACTGGGAATGAGAAGGTTTTTTCATCTCGCGTAAGTAGAAACCCTACAGTTCAATAATCAAAATAAATTTCTAATTTTGTGAAGACAGAGAATTACAAAAATTCCCAATGTGGCTCATACATTGAAATTTAGCTTTTTCCTTTTCTGGGGACAGCAGTAATGATAGCTGCTGATGCAGAGCTGCAATACATGTATGTATTATTTTTAGGAAGCTCATGCCCAAATAAAGCAATAGAGGAATTTTTTTTGGAAAATCTTACAAATTCGTTACCTTCGGTGGACTCGAATTTTTATTCGGACAGTGTGGATTATTTGCATCGCATTTTTCGGAAACTGAAGATCAGTTGGTATGCATTCAGATGATAATGCGATCTTCCACTATGTGGTAACTCAAAAATTACGGATTTTCGTCGCTAATTCCTACTGGTTTTCTTTTCACAAGTAACAATTTTATATATTTAGTAAATGCATGAAAAACTGGTACTTCTCAACCTAATTTAGCTGTTATAGAAAATCTTCGTCATCAATTTTTTGTTGATTATTATTTTATTTTATTTTTATATTAATCTCTTCGATGAAGATATCGTATGTTCAATTGAAAAAGTTATCAAGTTGGCCTTGATTTTTTATAAACATGCCCACAATAATCCTAAAATTTAGTCAATGGCAACTGACAATGCGAAAATATTAATTATACTTAACAGTAGGTTTAAGAAAACACATGCGTTTTTCACAACGTTTTCTTCTATCAAAAAACAACGTCAACTTGACGACGTTTTCAACACTCGTTACGTTCTGTGTTTCCAGCATTCCTTCGATTAAGTAATGAACTGACACTAACGTATACTTGTCTAGTTGCATCTATATTTATTTTTTAAAGCGTGTACTCCACTTTCTGAACTAATATTTACAATTTTCAATTGAATACTCAAAGTTTTTTAAGATCTTCATTAAATGGCAACATTAATTCCTTTTGTCTTTTAAATTCAGCTTGTTCTACGTTGCGGTTTTATTCACTGATATAACCAAATCTGCCTGAAGGAACTTTAGTTTAGTTATGTTGAAGAGACCTTATAGAGATCAATATTCCTGTTTGAAATGGTAATAATGATTTTTTATTTAGAGCTCTCATTTGTTGTGTGTGAGAATATATCTCTTCCAATTTTACAGTCTGTTTTTCTAATTGATACCAAACGCATGAACATCATCATGTTTTCTATATGTTGCTATCGAATTAAAAATATCAAACCAATCATTGAACACTTCTATAAAATGTGAGGTTTCTTTTCAATTGTCAGTTAATTTGTTATTTTTTCACAATATTTTAATGCTTTTGACTCTGTATTGGAAATTAACTGTGCTGCCGTTTTTACTCTTTGTCTTTGGGCTTCCCCAATTTTCAAATGCACTGCAGAAATTTTATGAGTGATACTAAGTTCTGATGTTTGTTGTAGCAACTGCTGAACTGGTTTTGTTTACAAATGTGTCTCCCATCTGCATTAATTAATTAATGGTCAATAAAGTGGTTGCTTAATAATTTAGTAGATGGGGAACGTCTGCAAACACATCGGCATTCCTAGATTCATGACTTGGATTCGGAAAATTTAAATTCTGAGGATTAATATCGAAGTATTTCCATAGTCCAAGATTGCCTCCTCCCATATCACTATTAATTGCAACGATTATGTAACCTACACGTTCTAAATACAAAATAACACTCTTTAGTATATCTGATGTCATTTGTTGATCAATCGAATAATATATAATTTATTTCCATTTTGAAATCAATCATCTGACAAAAACTACTGGAGCAGCTTTGAAAGGACCAATGATCTGTTTTTTCTTATCAAGATTTAATAATGGAGATAAGTGAATTTCATAATCGGAAATAACAGCAATTCTTTCTTTCAACTTCATATTCTTGGTTGTTTTTTTTGTAAGTGAAGCAACACATCGTGTAATATCCCTTCCGGGGAATTTTACGTATGACAGTTGCACCCAAACACCGCACATGAAGCCATTTTACAAGGTTTATAATACCTCAGCTAAAGTTTTTTGTCAGACAACTAAAATAACCTAGAATAATGTTGGTAAAAATGACAAATTCCATGCATGCCAAGGGAAGTGCAGCTTGGAAATCCGTCCCAGATTGCTGGAGAAAAATTGTAAATTAGTCCTTTTAACTGATTTTTATTCAAACCATTCCAAAAGATCTAACCCACAAGAACAAAAATGGGCAACTTTATGAATATTAATTTTAATTGTACAACTTGAGTTTCCTTCTACGCTTATACACTACACTCCGCGATAACTGATCAACCTCACCCTCGATTTTGTATATTTTGCAGAATTATTGCAGCTTTTTTAAAAATCATGATCTTGGATTTGAGAGCATACAAAATAAAGCTATTTACGGATATTGCATTTTTTATGTTTTCTTAATCCAAGAAAAAAAATTGTATATAAAATTATTAATAAAAATAAGACAACTGATTAACCTCACCAGTAAAATTTTCGCTATTTACCAAAAAATCAGAAAGTAACAACATTATGTAATAACAAAATTACACGTAATAATGAGTATGGGACACATTCTTATTTATTACTTCAAATATGCGATTTGGAAGTGAATGATATGGGGAATTTAAGAAACTTTGTGGGATATTGGCCAAAGCTTCTCTGATTGCATTTATTAATGCTTCAGTGTTCTAATATTGTCCTCCTCCTTCATAAATATTTCTTGATAACCAACCCCACAAATTTTCAATGATATTCAAGTCTGGAAGACTTGCATATTTTGCACCAGCTTTGCTGTGTAAATTGAAGCATGGTCTTGCTGGAAAACCCACTCCCCCACCTTCCATGGCATCTTCAATCTATTGCTATGGCAAGAAGATGTCGTTTATTTGGGCATTTTGCACTCCATTTAAAATTTCCATATGTACGGGGGTCCTTTAAAAGAAATAGCGCCCCGTATCATCACTCGTCCTTCTCTGTTGTGACGTCGGGACAAATATGTTTTTGCTTTCCTTAAAAGCCGGTTTATTATGTAATTTTTCTTATGATTCGCTTAGGAAAGTGCTTGTGAAAAATCATAACTGGAAAGCTAGATGTTTAGACTATGTGATTTTTCATAACAAACTGTTCACAAGCAAAATCATTAGCGGATTTTAAACTAATCATAAGTAGTCATAACGAATGCTACCGTACCTATTTTCTTGTGATAACCTTGTGATTATTTCGCATGAATTTCAAATTTGGCGCCAAAATGTGACATTTTTGACTGTTTTTGACATCGCACATCAAACATTCAATAGGTAATTGAATTACGAGTCCATATTCGTCTTTGTTTCTTTGTCTGCACATTTGTTAGTATGTTCTGCTAACTTAATTTGTCATTTCCGTGTCCACTAGTCTGTGTGTAATAACATTAAGTCAATCACAGCTAACGAAACGCCACATTACTTGAAATAGAAGAACGTTCATAAAATGCATATCATCTGAATTTCCAATTTACTTATTTCTCGTTTTTGTAATTGCGTTAGAATTAACAATGAATTAACATTAGTTTATACACAAATGTCATGGCAACCACTAAAACATACACACTCAAACAAAAATTGGCTTTTTCATAATAATTATCATCTGGTTCCAAATCACAAAAATTCACTTGGAACTAAAAATCACACGTTGACGGGAGTTCAACGTCAGCAACAGGGAAAAATACAGTTAGGATGCCATTTTACTTGTATACCGTTGATCGGCTTTTCTCATTTTGTTTTTCGCGTTTGGTTCGTTCACGTTGCGGGTTGGATCTTGTAGCTTTGAACTTTTGATATCCCTACGAACGCAGTTAAATATTTATCTCCGGAAACATTGTGGAGCTATATGGACTACCTTCAATGTTTGATTTGCAATTGCGAACAAAGTGTCTGCTGCAAATTGTATCAGTGCTGTTTGGGGCCTATGGCTTTTTGTTAGAAGTGCTGTAACGATATAATTTTCAAGATTTGTCGTCATAATCTCAAAACATAAGAAACCAAGTTTTAGCTTCGTAATTGGGAGTTAACAATGCATACATTATTAATTTCTTCCAGGACTTCCTTTGTGAGCAGGAAACTAGGAGCACACTTAAAATCTAGTTCCGGGGGAGTTAATGCTTATCATCAGTTGTTGGAGTTGCCACTGAAATTGTTTTAATGAAAGAATGGTTGAATCATTTAGTAAAAAGGTAAAATTTAGATCCACGTCTTTTATGAATCTCTCTAAGAAGTATCAATGTATTTAAGTATTCTAAAAATGTTGCGTTACTTTTATAACCACATTGTGAATTGGATACTTATGTCAGAGTTTTTTTCAAATTTTTAAATCCCTTTGTCTCAAGTTTTCTTTTAATGTCACCTTGTTCAGTTCTCTAACCCTTATGTATGTTCTTGTTCGAACTAAGCAAGTAAGTACTTCATCTTCAAAACCGGTACAATCTGCATTGCTTTTTATCATGTTAACTAAGTGTTTTATGATTCCTGGATCCTTTTGAATTTCAGCTGCATGGTAGACGAGAGACAAAGTCTCCATAATCTTTGCAACATCAAGAAATTCTACTGACGGTTGCATTAACCCTCCATTGGAAATAAACTGGATCCAATCTGTTGAATCCTACTAAATATCGCAGTCCCTCATCACTAATAGTACTTGGTGGCAAAGCTACATTAATATCACAAGACTCTTCAACAAATTGCAGATGTGCAAGATCATCAACATCTTCATCTATATATTCTGTGTTTTAGGTCCCTATAAACGACATAAAGAGTGGCACAGTTAAGTAAATTTCTTCATTTAAGGGTGTAACTAAACTGGGGTCATAATCATCTTCGCAATTTTTATTTTCGCCCAAGTCCCCTGGTGAATGCTTGCCTAAGATGTACCATCTGAAGCGATACATAAAATCTACCGGATCTGGTTGATCATTTGCAGAACCCATTTCTTTTAATATGGGAGAAAAAATTCTCCAAAACATCCTGATTTAATCTTCGTGTTAAAATGAATTCCAACTTATATTCCGTTCTTAAATACTGGTATAAGCTATTTAATGACTTATTACTTATAATACATAATTCCTTTCTGAAAAGGCAACAAGGAATGATGATTAATGACCCTCATATTCAACATAACTTTTGTCATTTTGAATAGAAGCTGTCGCTGCTCCACTAAGTCTGTGCCATAAGCACTGGCACCATTTGACATATATTTTGTACTGGTGTTAAAGAGATCAAACCAATTATTGGTCAGTTCTATAAACTTAGATAATGCAGTATAACTGGGGTCATTAATTAAATTATTTTCCCCACAATACTGGAAAACTTTTGCTTTATTTTGTTCTAGAAAATAATTTGGCTGCCGTCTTCACTTTCTGCCTTTGTGAGTGTTTAACATCCAGCATGTGTTGCGTAATTGTGTGCCCAATTTTTAGATCTGACGCTCCACATAGACCTAAAAATTGTTCTATTGCTCTTTTTTTTTAAAGCTTTACCGTCAAGAGTGAATCCACTATCTAGAAAGTGATTGTGCAATATTTTTTTTTACAAACATTTCGTCAAAGGCAAGAACTGTTAATTTGTCCACGTCTTTCAAGTTTTTGGCATGTTTTTTCATAAGAACGGCCACATTCTGTAAAAATCCTGGGGCTATAGAAAACGTATTGGCCCAACGTCTCAAAGTTCCTAGATCAGGCAGAGGAAATTTGCATGCCTGGCGTAGATACGTATACGCTTTTGGGCTGACACTGCGTAAGGATATTGCTGCTGCAACATCGTTAGCAGTCCAACGTACCCGTTTCCCAGTTGTTAATGAACGGATTTGCCCAGGGGTAAATAATTATTTTCTAGCTGCCTTGCCGACTGCTTTCCATTCATTTTTTTGTCTCAACTTTTTATTTAAAGAACGATAATCCACGCACAATCTCACGTCACCACTTTTCTTCTTCACTAATAACACAGGGCTCGCGAATGATGAAAAAGAGTCTTCTACTATTCCCGCATCCTTGAGTTCTTCCACTATTTCCTGAACCTTTCTTCTCTCGCTGTACGCCATTCGGTACGGTCGATAGTAGGTGGGTTGATCGTCTTCAAGCTGGATATCCATCTCAACCAGCGTTGTACATCCCAACTGTTTCATATTTCTGGCCACTAAATCTTTATATTCGTTCAATAAAGACATTAACTGGTATTTATCATCGCCAGTTACCTCAGTATTTACTTCTGCTTCAACCACCGGTTCTTGATTTACCTCTCGCCGTTGGTTACCTTCTACGCAACACTCACCACGTACAATTCCTTTATCTTTACCAATGTTCACAGGTTTTCCGCTTATATTTAAGACAGGTACCACAGCTTCGCCATTGTCGTCTGTCTTGACCACACATCTCGGGATGATTCCTCCTAAATCTTTTAATTCACTCTCGATGCATAATTCGGCACTTGTAAGGTCACCTCTCACCATAATATGACCTAAGAAATTATTCGGAATAACGGACGCTTCTTGCGCCCATAGGACTGTCTTCATTTCACCTTTTCGTTCCGTATGGGGTAGTTCGCTGAATTCCAGTTATGTAGGTGTTTTAATTACCTTAACATGTTCTTGCTCAGTAAATGGATGCCCAATTAATATCGGAATTCGTTGATACTCAGCTGGAACGACATAAATTTTGGTCATGGCCTTAACCTCGTCGATCTTAATTTGGGCCTTCACGGCACCTAATGTTTCTATTTTCGCACCGCCGTAACCGATAATGTTCTCGCGGTCGCGTAAATCACGAGTCCCAAAAAACGCACATATTTGTCTTGTATCGCACAAATTTGACTGCCGAAGTCAACGTAGTATCCCTGCATCTGAGTTCCGTTGATCAGTACGTCTTTAAAATATTGTATGATACTCACGTGAAAACTCCATTGCATTACTCACTTACATACAGCGCTCGACTGCGTCTCGCGCCGTATTCCCGTTCGTAATGCAATGGACCGTTTTCAACACTCGTAACATAAATAACAATTTTTTCGTCGACCACTTATTAATGTGAATATTAATGAATTTTTTTTCTGAAAAAAGGATGCGTTAATGGACGTCATTAACGATCTCTTTTTCATTAACGCACTCTTTTTTAGTTCGTCATTTTCACGGTTTTAAACGTTGTGATCTGTCATGATGTTAGACAACCAGATTTTTCTTATAATTTTATTCATTTTACAAGAAACTTTTACAATTAATGAAATATTGTTATAACATAATTAGAATTATTTTTGGATATTCATCACAAAACTATTAAAACTACAATTGTTAAAGGTTACGAAAGGAACTTATAAATTCTTTGTGTTGCTGACGTCAGGATTTATGTTGATTTGAACGTTTTCGGAGGTGTTTGAGGTTATGTTATTTATCGAGTTGATCGAGTTATTTATTTCTGTTTCTGCTGGCGAATTAGAAGGAAAATTAGCAGTGGCTGAGCAAAACAATTGTGTAGAGGTCTCGGGGGTGGTGGAAGAAGTTGCTGTCTCGTTACAAAATAATTGCTTGGCAATATTAACTTTATTTTGAACTGAGTCTTCTATGTATGACTCTGCAACCCTTGTTGATTTCCACCCACCGTGCCTCTTTATTGCCGCAAAATCAGCCCCTGGGTCAGATAAGATTGTGGCTGATGATCTACGGAAAGAATGTCCCGTATAGAATTTTGGCTGATCTAATTTTAAAAATTGTGCAACTGTACATGGAATTTTGGAAAATGTGTTGATACCAACAGGGTTTGTAGTGCATTTATTGTGTCTGTAGTGTACAAAGAATCGTGTATGTTTTGTATGGTTGGGTCTCAGTGTTATATACCGTCTGATTAATTTTAAAAATATACTTTGGTCATCATCTACAATGGTAAAAACTCTTTCTTCTTTTGTTTTTGTTCTGGAGCCAGGGATAGTAACTAAAAATTTTGATTTCAAATCTTCAACATTGTTGGTTTGCAATTCTAGAAGTTCATGCTTTCTTAAAGCTCCAGCGATGCCGAAAATGAGTGCTACCTATAAAAGTTGTTAGCTTGTACAAATTCAAGTTCTTGGTCTTAATTTACCTTGGCCATTAAAAATACATCATTTGGAGCTTCAATAATAAACTGTTGTACTTGCCCTTTCTCCAATATTTTTTATTTTTTTTGGAACATGTCCTTCACTTTGTCTTTTTATGTACATTATCAATTTATGATAATTGCCAATGTCAATATTTTTTTAGACGTAGAGTAGACTTCAACATTGAAAATTTTGGCCAGAGGCTCGCAATTAATCCTTTTTGTACGATCTCGGCAAAATACGCCAGCAAGACGGGCTCAATGTAATCGTTTACGTGTTGCTTGGTACACCAATCGCAGAATTCAGAGTATGTTCTTTCGTAGAGATCTTTACTTTTAGCCGGTAATAAACTTCCACACGCATCGTTCGCACTTGCTATTACTGCAGCCGGAAGATCACTATTTTCTAGTTCCATTTCTCAATTTAAAATTTACAACCGCAATGGCAAACGCTTTTTACACAATGAATGTCAACGTTTGTGATTCGCTTGTCATTTTTTTTTTCCAATGATAACTATGTTAACTGTCCAAAATTAAAACACACAAGAATGGACAACTTTGTGGAACTATGTTTACTGTTCAAAATTAAAACACACAAGAATGGGCAAGTTTGTGGTCAACGAAAAAATGTTGTAATAAACTCGTTTGTTAATGGGCGATTAATAATCTCCACTTTTAAAGGCACTCACTCGCTACGCTCGTTCGTGCTTTAAACAGTGTCGATTATTAATCGCGTTCATTAACAAACTAGTTTATTAAATAACTATTTTCGTCGACCACTTATTAATGTGAAAATTAATGAATTTTTTTTCCAAAAAAAGGATGCGTTAATGGACGTCATTAACGATCTCTTTTTCATTAACGCACTCTTTTTTAGTTCGTCATTTTCACGGTTTTAAAACGTTGTGATCTGTCATGATGTTAGACAACCAGATATACTCATTTATTTTTCTTTTAATTTTATTCATTTTACAAGAAACTTTTACAATTAATGAAATATTGTTATAACATAATTGGAATTATTTTTGGATATTCATCACAAAAGTATTAAAACTACAATTGTTAAAGGTTACGAAAGGAACAGATAAATTTTTTGTGTTGCTGACGTCAGGATTTATGTTGATTTGAACGTTGTCGAAGGTGTTTGAGGTTATGTTATTTATCGAGTTGATCGAGTTATTTATTTCTGTTTCTGCTGGCGAATTAGAATGAAAATTAGCAGTGGCTGAGCAAAACAATTGTGTAGAGGTCTCGGGGGTGGTGGAAGAAGTTGCTGTCTCGTTACAAAACAATTGCTTGGGAATATTAACTTTGTTTTGAACTGAGTCTTCTATGTATGACTCTGCAACCCTTGTTGATTTCCACCCACCGTGCCTCTTTATTGCCGCAAAATCAGCCCCTGAGTCAGATAAGATTGTGATAAATTTGAATAGGCACCAAAGATGTTACAAAAATATTTGCATCACAATAATCTTCGGATCCACTTTTTTTGTTTATATTGTGCATAGCCGGAACTGCCATCGCAACCCCATTTGTAGACGGCAGTGATATCTTTAAGAAGATTTATGTTTAGAGCAGGAATCCTGTGCAACTTTCGGTCTGTAGAAGTCTTCGTATTGTATGATTTATTAAACTTTGCAGCTTAACATCAGCAACTGTGTCCGTTATAGTTATGCTCAGTGGATAACATCGTCTTCTGGTGAATGGAATATCCCCCGGTTGATGCCTGGGGGATGTCGGGAAGTCCTCCGGCTAATGCCTAGACGACGGAAAGGTAAAGGGAAGGGCAGACCGCACCAGGGGCGGCTCATGACTTGAAAAGTTGATGAGGCAAAGCGCAAACGTTCCAAAATATAAATAATGCCAGGTTACTTAAATATTTTCTACTTATATCAGATAAACAAATTTGTAAACTCATTTAACTGTCTAGCAAGAACCAACGTGGAGGTGTAGGGAACTCTTGCTAAGAAAGGATGGGAATGACAGGACGAAAGGAAAGAAAAATGTAGTTAGGAAAAACTAAATATAAATTCTAACAAAAAATAAAATTAAAATAAACTCTTAATAAAACATATCGAAAAAAAAAACAAATAAAATAAAAAATAAATCTAATATGATTTATAGCAAAAAACAAAACGAAAAAAAATCGATAAATACTCTGGATTTATTTTAAATTTTTTTATAGATCAATTAACGATCTACTCAAATCTGGAACCAGCCGTTTTAATTCTTTAACTACATACAATTTATCATCATACGTGAAAGTAGAAAAAACACAATTATTTGTTAAAAAGTCTACCACATCCTCCGTGTTCCCAAGAATTACCTTGGACAGGCGTTCATGCACCTTGCCGGATTCTGGAACTGCCATTGTCATTAAACGTTAGTCGAGAAAAATTCCGATTTGCGATAATTTACTCGTAATCTTAAATAACCGAAATCAAACTATGACTAACTCGACACACGCAAACATAGGCGTGTTTAACACAAAATTCTGTTACCGAAATTCTGAATCAATTTATAAAACAGACAGATTTGTCGCAAAACAATCAACGGCCTAATTTTGAATACATTGTTGTATCTTGGTAGAGAATAAAAAGTAGCCACAAAAGAGCACAACACGTTTATTAGCTTGGCACAACAACATACACAAGAAACATTACTTATGCTTAATCATGCACCGAACTGCCATACAGATCTTCAACTTCTGCTATCAAGGGAAATTGAAAATTGCACAATGCGCTGCACACTTGAAAAAGTGTTGTGGCTTGTGCTGTTAAATTGCTGGGAGTGGCTTGTAAGATTTTCCAACATTTAATCCTACGGATAGCCCTTTCAACATGAATACGTGCTCTTGCAATTGTTCGTGTTTGCACTGCCTGTTCAGGTGTGAATTGCGCGGTAGTCAAAAATGGTGGCAAATTGAGATCTACACCAGCCGGTAAAATGTCTTTAATTAAAAAGCCTTTGTCGGCTAAGATCATGTCTCCCACCTGCAGTTTGCCCAAAATGCCACAGTCAGCGACAATTTTTTTATCTGAGGTCGATCCGGGATATAACTCCCTCACGAACGTAATAACACCATTTGGGGCTACTCCCACTAACCCTTTGACAGTATTTTGGCGTTTGTAGGCACTGTAGGTCATTTTCTGTGTTGCAAGGGATTTTGGCTTTATATATTTGACTTCTGTACAGTCTAACACTATACGACAATTACTAAAAACACTGAAACATCCTGGAAGGCATAATCGGTTTTTCTGCCTTGATGGAATCTCTTTCATTAACTGACAAAATAATGTTTCATGTAAAGCATGAATCCATGTGGACACAATGTTGGCAATTGTGGTGGTGCTACAGTTAAACCTACAGGCTAAATCAAGCTGTAACAGGTTGATTCTCAATTTCATCAGGGTTATTAATAGTTGGCCTCGTTTGGGTATTATACCAACAGTCCACCCCAAACAATAGGTGAGCTCCCTATGTTCAAATAGCGCAAACAATGTCTGAAATAGATGCACATTGGGTATTCCCGTATACATATTGATTAACTGAGCATCATCTTTAATATGTTCAAAGGAAAAGGTTGTAGATAGGTGCGCCAACTTGGCTTTTAACTCCTGGTTTTCCTTCTGCAAAAAGTACATTTCTGCCTCTTGCAAAACACTGCCACTTGCATTGACGTTCAACCCTTCCAATGCGTGACGTAATCCAGAAGACGTCCGTGATCCAGCATCTTCACTTGATCCTTGATCGGGCGTTTCTGATGCTGACGGTTGTTCATCTGATGCTCCGGAAGTTGATGGCACTGGAAACAACTCTTTACGACTAGTGCTAGGTTCTGGTGTCTCCATCATGGTTTCCAGTTTTCTAGAACCAATTATATACTGGTTAATCGCATTGCCTAACTTCTACTACTGTATTTTGCATACCTTTGTTTCCTTTTTTCGGGTGTTCGAAATTTAAATACTTTATCGGCAGCATATTCTACAATACTTGGGCCGTTCGTTTTGTCACCCTGTAGAAAATGGCAAGTACACACCATCGAATGTTGGGATGGCTCCCTATCTGCTCGCCTGTCGATAGCAATCATAGAAGCACACGCATTCATACATCATAAACCTTACATACCCAATGAGTGTCATCCACTTCTTACGCGTTTGTTCCTCCTTCGGAAAACGGAAAAATCGGCAGGTTTTCTGTTCGCTGTAATGCTTGCAGCTCGGCACAAAGCACATCACCATTTCTACGAACAATCAGAAATACTCCTTCATGAACGTAAAACACATGGGCTGCGGAACCTAACCTTACTTTCTTTCTTGAAAGGTTTATTTAAATGTGGGATTTCCACTTATCACTCCACTCGTGTCCACCTTCAGCTATAAACCACTGATTTGACACCAGTATCTTTAGCAACCTTTAACTCGTTCTTATCACTGCACAATTTACTGATTCCACTTTCTTATGGCCATTTAACACAGGTAACCTAACCATGGCAACCATTTTTGTTTGGAATCAGTTGGAACGCGCCAACGCCTATGTGACGTCACACTTTTTGCATGCATTAGCCAATAACACGTGACGTCACGCTGTGGCGGGAATTCAGCGTTGGACAAGCGCCGTGAAACTCCATAAGTGACAATGTTAACATTTTTGCATTTTATTTAAAAGTGTGGGTATTTATCTAGAAAATAAATACGTGAATAGCTTCTTTCATATCTTTTCTGTGTATCAGGGTGCTTTTTTTGGCGATTTGAGCTTAAAAATACATAATAAAAATAAAAATACAGAACGCTGTTTTGGCCTGAATTCCTCGTCACCCAAAATACATCCGTGTGTTTTAAGCGGTAAATTGGAAATTAATATTTTCGTTTGAGGTCAATGTGACGGGTTTAAGTGAAGGTGTGTGATTTGTTTTTAAAGTATGGATAATTTAAGTGATTATGCACGATGTCTTTCCGTCAAAGAGAAAACAGATATGTACAAAAATTAAAGAATTTAAACGGCGTAGATCCTTATATAATGAGTACAAGTGATTTTAATTTGTGTTTAGACGATGTCCCTACCATAACAATGAATACCATTCTAAACTTTTTTTATTTTTGGAATAAGTAAAATAACCCACAATGAAATTCGTGCGTTCAAAAGTCTAGAGGCATTTATTCAGTTTTCTCTTTTTTAAACGACTGTGTCTTTCAACATTACAAGTTTTATGGGTGGATTTATTTTGATATCCTAAATTTTGTGATGGAACATAATCAGGGTGGTCCACATCCGACAAATCTGCAGGTTTACCTAAAAGAGCACCAATGTAGTAATTTATTAGAAACTGTAAATCTAATAGGTAGTTACTGTACCTAAAATAAAATGATCCCAACAAACATAGGAATACTTTACTTTGACTTCGTTAAATCCACTCGTTTCAAGGCTTTTAATCAAAGCTTCCGCTTTTTTTCCCCATCCTGTATATATTTACCTTTATTGTTGCTAATTGCTGGGAAAGGAAAATAAAATTTGTCCGCATTTCTGGTGCTTCGATTCGCGTAACCCACAACAGCACAAAATTTAGGCATTTTCTCCTAAAATACAAAATATTATAACATTAAGATGCTAGTGTATTTAAAAAACATTGATGTACATTAACAAAGAATTAATTTGTAAAACAAATAATATAAGATGCAACGAAGTTAATCTGCACATCACATTGGAAAACATTATTTTTTAAGCATATTTAAACGTTATGGTGCGTTTTACAGATATCTACACAGTCTAGAAACTGTAACAAACTTACCAAACTATAAAAACACAGTTGACACACAAATGAATTCCGAAAATATCATCATTGACTCTTATGAGAAAACCGGCTAGTTGTCAAACGCTGCCATCTTGAAGACCTCGGATGACGTCAGTATATTTGGCTAATTGTGGGATCTACTGCAGAGGCAAGCTGCGAGTTTGCCTCTTCGCGTCTGAAAATACGTGTTGTATCGAGTGTTGAAGCGCGCTGTTTAATTAAGGGAGCAGCAAGTACCTACCTAGATAAGAATAACAATATAATTTTCCATATTTATTTTTAAGATTTTAGAAAAAAAAATACAAATTATTTGCCGAAATATATCGGTAAAAAATAATAAAAATCCTCATAAGGCTTAAAATTCATCGGAGAGGCATTGTCTCACCTGCCTCATAGGACAAACCGGCCCTGGGCCGCACCGGTTAATGCTTCAAACTCTGCATCTGTGTACTCGTGTCTGTCCGGAGGCCACAACCCTGTTTTACGGAAACCATTAATGGTTATATTCATTATCGCTGCTCTCGGAAATGCTTTTCCTAAAAAGCCCACCAATAACATCCGGAAATTCATGTAATCTAGAAGTAATTGCTGGTGAAAAGTAGGTACTAAGAGGTTTAAAAAATGCAACATTGAGAGGTTGCATTCTATGGGTGCAATGTGCTGGAAGCGAAAGCATAAGTACTCCACAATTTCTATCCAATTCTATAGCTTTCATGCTTTGGATATGACTACTATGTCCATCCAACAATATAAGCAATACATTTTTGTTTTTGGAAAGTTTTACGTGGTTTATGTAATGTTGCAACTAATGGTAAAAGACATCAATGTCAATCCAGCCTTTGTCTTGACATAATGAATATGGTTCCAGGATGTGCTCGAAATGTCAAACTGTCGTTCATACGTTTTTTCGCATAAATAAGCATGGGAGGCACATATACACCACTTGCGCTCATAGCATACGTGCCAGTAACGTTTTGTCCTCTTTCGGAAGATGTAATCGCACCTACTTGATGTTTGCTTTTCTCCGCAATCACCTTCTATTGTTTTTGAACAACAGTGTGAGAAGTCTCGTCTGCATTGAAGATCCTGTCTGCAGTCAAAGCGTTTTCTTTAACAATTTTCTCACACACATCAAAAAAAGCGTTTACAACTACTTTATTGAAGCCAGCGGCTCGGGCAAGAGAAGTAGCTTCTGGTGCAGGCAAATTTAGTTGAGGATGTTTTCTCATAAAGCCTGCATACCATTCTTTTCCAGCTAATTTTTTCTCGGTTTTTAATCTAGTTGTTCTTTTATTTTTTTCCGCTACTTCAAATGCTAGTTTCATGAGTCCACTGCGTGTTAATCCATAAAACAATTTTTCCAAATGTTAAATGTGCTGTATGAGATCATTTTCAACATCTTCTGGTAAATCAGGTTATCTTCCTATTAAATAGTTACTTCGATTTGAAACCTTGTTTTTGTTTGCTATTTTTCTTAGTACAGTAGTTTTAGGGATAGAAAATGTTTTGGCTGCTTCATTTACACTCATTTTTTTACTTTTAACAGCTTCTACGGCAGCTGTCATGTCTTCTGTTTTCCATTTAAAATGCTTTTTGAGCCTTCGGTCACTTCTAGTGAGAATGCGTTGAGATACGTACTTACACAAATTGGATCTGTAATTTGGACCAGACCCAAATGCATTTGGATATGCATTTTTGCCAAATGGGTCAGGTGCATCAAAACTGATGCTTTTTTTTGCTTAAAATGAATGTTAATCATTAGAGAATAACGCAAAATCCTATGATGGCCCACGGGGACATTTTTTAATTTCGTATGGTGGCGCATAACGTGTTAACATGGAAAGATCGTAATTCACAACTTTTTAACCATGGCTTCAAATAATGCCAAAAATTTGTCCTGATGCGTCATTTTTTCAAGGTGGCGGTCGTTAGCGGTCTGGATGGCTTTTCTTTTCCTCGCATGTAACGACTATCACTATCAGAATTACTTAGAAGGGTTTCTTTTGATGCGTCTTCTTTGCTAGTCCCTATTGTTCCAATTCTAGTCAAAATATTGCCGATAACGGCGATCTTTTTCCAGACGTATTATTATTTAGTTTCAGTTGTCCGTTCTTATTTTTGGATGTGTTTTTTTTTCAAATATGTTTACATTCTTACATGATTTTCCCAATGGATGGAAGAGCTGAACAGTTTTTGAATTTACCATTTCATTTTTATTCCGCACATCACCAAGGAGTTTTGTTTTCCAATCTTGGATTTATGCTTTTCCATATGTTCATTAGTACTGTAAATGTTCGTTAGATGGATATTAACATTTTTGTGTCTTTTTGACACTTGAAATACAAATGTTTGCTATGTCAATCATAGTAAGAAAAATGTGTATCCATAGATGGTGTTAGTCATTGATAATATCATGGCCAACTCCATTGACACTTCGCTTCGCTTCGTGTCCGGCCGTAACATTACAAGTTTCATTGGTGAAACTGATTCTGATAACCTCAAAAATCGATCCGGCAATTGACTCCATCTATCGATAAAAGTTTGTATAATTTTGACTGACGTTTAATTTTCAAGTGTCAAAAACATGGAAAAAGGGAACAAAAGGCGGACAAAAGAAGCATGTATAATTCGAATGAACACAAAATAAACAGTAAAATCAACAAAATAATAAACTAGGTATGTATTCTAGGTTTTTCGAAAAAAGATTTGATTGAACAATTAAAAACAAAGCTCACGGGGCTGATTGCATAGAAGTCAACCCAAAGAATAAGCTGGAACCACAAATAAAAGGTAATTGAAGATGTTGTAACAAAACCGGATTACTAACAATGTGAAATCAACACTATAATTTCAAAACCTTTCTACTAATGGGTTTATTGGTGACAGATTTTTTTTTCTCACACAATCGTTTTTTTGTACACAAATATTATTTAAAATTGGTTTCATCCACAGATTAATGATCAGTTTGGAAATGCTGTGTTTATGTTTATTGCAGATCAAAAGAAGATTTTGAATTAAATGAGGATTTAAAATTTTAAATAATTGTGGGCAAGTATATAGTTGATCTAAAAATGCTCCAATTTCTATCGCAAGATGTTCCAAAGATTTTATAAGACTTATAAATTGAAAATTTGGGTAGGTCAGTCTGCCGTGATCTTGAAGATAAATCAAGCGTAGAAGAGGGCCGGTAGTTGATAAATATAATATGGGAATCAGACAAGTATCGCACTGAAATTTGTCAGTGATTTTCTTTACAATGTATCCTGCTAAAAAAGCAACAGATGCCGCATATATATATATATATAGTCTTATCTAAATTCATTATTGGTTCACTTGAATTTCGAATTTTTTCTAATGGTAATATGAACTCCGGATCACAGAAGTCAAATAGCGAAATAGAATTCTTGTTTCTATTTTTTTCTAGTGTTGCAGAACTGACATAATTAACACTTTCTGCAGTATTGGACGAACTGGATGATTTAAACCGCAACGTAAAATTTGACTTAAAGCATATTCTGCAGCTCTTGCATCGGTTGCATCATTAGATCCTCCTTTAAGTCGGATATGCGAAAACATTCCTTCAACAGCGTCAGAACTAAAAGCCCTGGTTAATACATAATAAAAACTTGATTGCTGCAAAAGGGACTGAATACAAAGATAGGTGCTTTTTGCAGTGAAAACCAATGCATGTGCACTTTCTTTGGTTAAACATTAAGCGAATTTTCGCGACTAACTTTCTGTAACTGAAAAGTATGATACTGGTAACATCCCCACCTAATGACAATGACGTAATCAACATACTGCGACGATTATCACGAAAATAATGTAATATGATTGACTGTCAAGAAGTGTGACAAGAACGTAAGAAAATATAACCTTGCAATTTGCAAAAACTGTGCAGCATTAAAGTTTTGGTGGAAAATGGAGCCACTCAGCGTAATTAATTTATGTGAACAGTACTTTTTTGATGCTGATGAACTTCTGTCGTGTAACTGGATTCTCAATAAAACAAATGCCACAAATTTGTATATAAAATTACGTGAAACCTATTACAAAGGGCCGATTGAAGAAGATTGGTTAAGAAATTACCATGACATCATGTTTTTTCGGTTTTTTCGAATACAAAAGTCAACGTTTTTAAACTTATTAAATGTTGTTCTGGAAAATGACAACCATAAGTTAATGAGGAAAAAATATCACGGGGGTAATTTACCAATACCACCTGAGAAGGCTTTGCTTACGTTTTTAACATATATGGCAACCCAAGAAAGTTTATTGTCAATTGGGCAAAGATTTGGAATTGTTCCATCAACTGCAATGAATATAGTGAATGCTTTGCTTTATATTATGTTAAAAATAAAGAAATACATATTTTGGCCTCGAACTGATGAAGAGGTAGAACATGTAATAAACGGTTTTACTCATTATCCAAGTAAATTTTTAAATTGTTTGATATTTCAAAATGATTCATGTTCATGTTTTTCTTTAGATGTTTTGGGTGCTATTGATGGTAGCCAGATAGATATAAAAGTCGTGCCACATACTCAACATGACAGTTATGTTAATAGATATCTTAGACATTCTATTAATGCCATGGTGATATCTACTGCTGAAAAAATTTTGACTTACGTTTTTATTGGATTCCCAGGATCGGCACATGATTCCAGAGTAATTTATATTTTTGAAATTATGGAAGTTGAACCTCAAGTGTAACTTATAGGTCTTTTCGAACTCAACATTTGTCCAAAACATTGCAACACATGGTTCGCAGTTCTATTTTCCTAATGAAGAATGTCATATATTAGGAGATAGTGCATTTCCATTAAAAATGTGGATGATGACACCCTGTAAGCGTAGACCAGCTTTAAATAGAATTGAAAGACAGCACAACTATCATTTGAGTGCTGATCGTGTTGTGGTCGAACATATTTTTGCCCGCATTAAAGGTCGATTTAGGAGAGTAATATTCATTAACACCTACTCCATTAGCAAAGCTATTGAAATAACCACTGCTGCATGCGTTTTACATAATTTTTGCTACATGAATAAAGATCAGTGGGAAGATGAGCTCCATGAAGATGTTAACGTACAAGAGTTCATTGCAGAAGACAATGATGAAGAAACTCGAAGAGCACAACTCAAAAGGAACCAAATAGCTAGAGAATTATTAAACAATGTATAATATATATTATAGAAAATAAGAAAAGATAGATACAATATGTATTAAAAACAACAAAACATAAATTCTAACGAAGGAAATAACATTGTCTTTAAAATCGTTTCTGTTTTAATTTTCATCTTCACTGGAATCCATTTCGCGTTTTCGTTTTTTGGTCATTTTTTCTAGGATTGTCAGCATTCGGTCTCTCTGACGAGTTTGCTCTGTGAACAGCGTATGCATTGCTGCAAAATGCTGATTGCGATCCTGTGCTTCTTGTTGTAAGTGTTTTGTTAAGAATTCTAGATATATTTGGTTGGATGTTTTTGGTTTAATACCATGCTTTACTTTCTTAAATCGATTTTTAATGCCTATCTTTTCCTGTAAACAAACAGTACATATTTAGAAAATCTGATGAATGAAGTTATACCTTTACTTGACTATCAGTGCTTGCCATGGTAGTACTGCTTGTACTTGGTGTGGGATCGTCATAAATGCTAGTACTGGAGTCTTCACCTTCAGTGTCCTGCAAAATACCATAACATATACAAGAATATTTAAGAGTTTCTCCAATGTGGTGCATTTTACTTGTAAATTTTGAGGATGACATTTATGTTTCTCCCCTAAAATCGCATCCAGCTCAAAATAAAATGGGGGATTATTAATTCGTTCAGTGCCTGTTTTGCGCCTATGGTCTTTACACTTAATATAAGTTTTCTGCAAATTTGCGAATTTTTGTTTACATTTTTTTGCGTCCACATTAAACCCTGCTTCGCGCATTTCTTTGACAATTTGTTGCCATAAGGTTTCCTTATGAGTTTTTTTGTCATTAAAGTTGTCCTTTAATCTTAATCGAAGCTCCAACAATTTGCTGGTGGCGGTCATACATTTTACTGTGGGTCTGCTTTTGGTATACCAAACATTCGCAAGTTGTGTGTCGTCGTTTTCATTACTTGTAACATTTTCAATATCGTCGTCGTTTCCATTATTTGTAACATTTTCAATATGGTCTTCGATAAACGCATCGGCTCGTTCCTGATCTGGAAGAAGTGAAAACAAATAAACTAATCTTTAAATGAGATTTATAAAAAGTACCATTTAATAGAATCTGGGCAATATGTAATGGGACTACACACGAGTAGTCTTCTCCCTTACTATTTATAGAAATCTCCACCAAGTTCTCTTCTTCATTAGCTTCTGGTTCAACTATCATGTCTACAAAATGCAACTTGTGACATTAATTAGTGTTAAAACTTGTTTTAATAAGTTGACCTTCTGTTGACGAACACATTTTTTTTTTTCACAAATTAATATAAAATTGCACCATCAACACTCAATCAGTCTCAGAACGCAAATTAATTTATTAGGCGGCAAAGAAAATAACCTAACAAAACTTGAAACACATTAGACCCATTTGACAGATCTACATTTGGTTACCGCGAGATACATGCAACGTTAGGCCGTTGGTGCCAGTATGTTCATGGTAAGGTCGATATGACGTCACAACACCTTCTCCTCTGATACCTTTCCAAAGCGAAAATGTTAATGTTACACGTAATAAGATACCGTAACTTACTTAGTTAGTCGCGAAAATTCGCTTATTGTAAACCAACAGCTAACGATGAATTTTGGATGTCATTTATATAATCTGGAAACGCAACGTTCAACCAGTTTAAGCGTTCAGCACAAATACTCGTATTTACATACGGGACAACAGTACTATCTAATGAGTTAACGTAGTAATTTTTAGTACTTACTACTTACATTATGTAATTGAAAGAAAACGTATATTGTCTCAATATATTGAACAGTAGCATCAACACCTTGGAATCTGGGGTGACCATTCTCTTGTAAAAATTTTAAAGAAGAACTTACAGATGGTGAAAAAATTTGAATTGCGCGTAAAATATTCATCTTTTCAAAATTCGAAGGAAATAAACGTTTTTTTGTTGAAGGCCATATAGTTTTTTTTAAATACTCGGAAGAACCTGCATTTGAATTCATCTCTTGTTGCAGAAATAAATTTTTCACATTTTTTAGCGCATGACAATAATCAAAACTTAAGAATAAAGGCATTGGGGTCAAAAATGGGTGAGGAATAGAATTTGAAAGAGTACCATTACAAAGAATTTTGAAAAGTTTGACATATGCGGAGAAATCGTCTGTTACGATTCTTAGCACAATAAACCCACAAGAGGTAAGGAGTTCCAAAACGTTCACAGTACTCGAATGATATGTCTCTGCGGATAAGTTGCTATGTAAAAGTTGCCTGCAGGAATTGTATATCGGGTGCTCAATCCATGAATCACAAAACATAACATTTTGTTAGCTAGATCTACGAGTACATGTTCGCCTACATTTTGACTTTTGCAATTGTTTAAACCATAGATGCGATCCTCGGATCGACTATAAAACATCTTTTCTCTGATTGACATATCATCGATTATCAACGAACATATACGTTCGACTGGTTTTTTTAAACTGGAAATTTCGGAATTTAATCTTTCTTTGATTAGCGCTGAGGTTCCGCTAAAAGGCCCCAAATAACGTAAGATTGTGATTTTTTATGGTAATTTGGCCAAATGTTTTCTGCATAATTCATATTCTTTTGACGAGCAAAATCTCCAAACGGTACATAAATGGACAGATGTTGCCGACCATCGAGGTACTTTTTTATTATAATTTTTTACCACGTCCAAAAGAAATATGGCTTTTTCATCATTGTTTTCCGCGGCTTTGGAGATATCATCTAACAACTTTGAATTTAGACTTTTCTCATTTTCAACCTGAAGATTCCTTAATTCGCCTAAACAGTTTAGATATTTTTGGGTCATTCTTTTCAACTTCAAATTTAGAATTTTATAATGATATCTGAGATCCTCAACTTCCTTTTGTGTAATTGTATAAGTTTATTTGTACGAATTTTGAATTGTTCTCACTCTCGATGCAAACCATATTGCTTTGAACTAAGATGTCGTTGTTATCTCGTTTATTAGCGAAGTTATTTCTGCCACAAACATCCTAAAATTCAAATTAATAGGAGATTAATGAAAACCTTCTCCTTTACATACAAATTTAGAAGGTACTGCTCCTTTAATTAGCCGATTTTTATTTCCAAAATTATTTATTCAGTTTTCACCAAAAGGTTGTTGCGCACCACACTACTTTGTTTAATTTTCGAGATATCTGATAAGTATAAATACAGTGTTAGTTAACTGTCAAAGGAATCTAAATTATTGCCTCAAAGTGTATAAGAAAGATCACATTTTATGTTGATGTTTCTTTTAAATCTTTAATTAGTAATACAGTATACGTAATTATCGCAAAATTTACCCATAGCTTCCATCCGCAACTCAAAATTACTGGGAATTTAAAAAAATATTTTTGTTTTTGCCACAAATTAAACACTTTCTTCCAATTTTTTAATTTTTTCAAAAAATATAGGAAAAGTTTCGATTCTTATTTAAAATTAGTGTTCAATGAACTTTTCAAATGCAGTATTTTTCCCATCAAAATTGACAAAAATAGCGTTTCCAATCAACGAACGAAAATTAGTTAAACGAATATGTAATAGATGGAGTCAATTGCCGGATGGTTTTTTAGATTAGCCGAATCAATCAAAGGCCCATTTAGTTACGGCCGTATGAAGCGCAGCGGAGTTAGATTGAGTTGGCCATGATAATACCACAGCATAGATAACAATCAGTAGAGACAGCTCGTGTCGGCGCCTTTGTTCTTTCTGACCCGAATTTTAAGCCGTCATGGGTGGTCGTTGCCTAAACTATTCCTAGATGTCGCCACCCAATTTAAAAAGTATCACTTCATTTACAATTTCAAAAATTGATTCGTGTACGCTATTTATTGCAAACTGTCTAGTTTGCTCAAATCGTATAATCGTGAATCGCAATAAGAAAAAAGAAAAGTCCATGTTTAATTTATAAACACGATGATTTGTTACAGTTTTTATTTTATTCATAACCACCGTTGTTGTTCGTTTGCGACGACTTTTTAAACAAAAAATGTGTTATGTTTACTATCTTTTCCAAGAATTCCAAACACGAGGGAGAGAATAAGGCGCACAACAGGGATCCGGTATGAAAATTCATCGGACAAAGATTTTACCTTTTATTGTGAAAATTACATTTGTACAATTCTACCGGAAAAGCAGTCTGGCAAAAATATTGTAACAAAACTGCCAAATTTCAAATATTTTAGACGTCAGTTGGGCGCCCTCATTCGGTCATAATGCGAACGACCACCCACGAAAACGGGTCACGAAAAACGGCGAGCCGTCTCTACTGATTGATATCTATGCTGTGATAATACTGTAATAATAATACATTTTTAGTAGGTAGGCAACTCCTTATACTGACAAAAAGACAGAGAAAGCAGCGGCCTCTGGTGGGTTGTTAACCAGGGTTACAGCTTGCTGGGTTTTTATTTTATTTTTTATTTCAATAATTTTTGTTCCACATAATTTTTTAATAAAACATGCATATTTCAGAAAATTAGCTTTAATTTTTTTAATTACAGAATTTACATAATGTTCAACGGGTTATGTTGCAATTGTACTCACTTTTTTTTCTTTTTTCGTAATATTCCTTGGCTGTGATATATATGGCGTAGTTGTTTCGATCGTGGTTTCGTTCATTTTTGCCACTGAAAACTTTATTAATACCACCGGCCCAATTATAACAAACTAACTCAGTGAATTTTGATATTAGAAATTCTTTGATGTCCCCCATATGTTCACAATTATCGTTAAATTCAAACTTCACATTCATTTTCACAGAATTTTTCAATATTTCAAAGCCAGATTTTTTGACGTTTCAAGTTGTTGTCAAACTAACCGAAGCGCTTTTATTTATTATTTTCATAGATATTATTTTAAATTTAACAACATGCCGCCAGCGCCTCTCGTGGACTGTTTCCCGTACTAAAACACATGCCCGTTTCAATCCTTTGAACTTCCCGTCCCATGGTGTTAGTTAAAGCCCAAATATTTGAGGTTAGCAGAATTAATTTCAACAATGGAAATCGACACATTGTGCCGGCCATAAGGAGCTCAGCGGAGGCAGGTTAAATTGGAGGTGATATACTATTCGCCTATACTGACAGAAAAGTACCAGTAATGGCGGCGATTTCTACTGACAGAACTGCTTCACAAAATATAATAGAATTCAGGGTGTCAGAAAGTCTTATATGCATTTGAAGTCTTTGGTTATGCCCACAACGTACGAGTATGAATAATACAATTAATTCTGTTATTTTTTTTTATTAGTAGTTACTACAGAAAAAATTAAATATTAAAATTATCCAAATAAACTTAACACATTCCTTCGAAAACAAAGGAACTTTATTTATTTTTCTGTCGCTTGAGACACTAGCACACTGTGTTTATATTTAATATGGCTAGTCATACTTGAGTTATTGGCCATTTTGCCTACACCACCGCGAGAAATTAGTGCTTGACACTGATTGCATTTTACTTTTCCTGTGCTGTCTTTTATATCTTCGAAAATGTCCATATTTTGGATTTTGTACGGGACATAGCGAAAACAGATCTGATATGAAACCCAAATATAGAATTTAATTTTTTCACGGAGAAACCAATAAATGAAGCAAACACAGGTGCCGACAATATGAATATGATCGCTTGAGGTAGTCAGAGCAATAGAAAAAAAAACATTGTCTGCCGCATTTATGAACCGATTTTGACGACAATCGGCCGACTAGTCGGTTTTTACTTTTTACTGGTTGAACAATCGGGTAGTCGGCACTATTGCCAGGTTTTTGAATGGTCTTGTCGCTATCTATCATTCATGAAGTCGCCAGAAAATCGCCGATGTCAACATCGCGGAGCAAAAATCACTCGATAATCCGTG